CTGCATTCATTTTTGACAAGCAATTGATGAATGTAACTTGCAAGCAAAGCAAATTGTTGTGACAATATGCGATTCATGTGCAGGTTACGGTAATCCAGTGCCCGTAACGCAGTTTGGTCGAATGATGTGCATCATATTCTCGTTGTTTGGCATACCACTCACTTTGGTCACTATCGCGGATATTGGCAAATTTTTGAGTGAGAATTTGATATGGATGTACGGTAATTATTTGAAGTTCAAAGAATACGTTTGCGAGAAACATCGTCACAAGAAAGCGAGACGCGAACATGTATGTGAAAGGTGCAAAAAACAGGGACTTTCATCGAAGATGCACATCATCGAGGAGCAACGGTTCGTTTCACTATTTTCATTCTTTCATTTATTCGTTTTAAACTTCATTCAAGACTGTCACCTCGTATTTGATTACAGAGTATCATCAGTTAGGCGCATATTCATCAGTGATTTGCTGAATGATTTTTCTCGATAGAGTCATCAGAATATGCGTATCATAAACTTCCAGTTATTTCAATCGATCCGGATTGGGCAATTTTGCAGGATTCCAGCCATGTTGGTGTTAACGATTCTTGTACTGTACACGGCACTTGGTGGAGTGCTCATGTCACATCTTGAGCCGTGGAGTTTTTTCACTTCGTTTTATTGGTCATTTATCACGATGACAACGGTTTGTTGCGATGCATATCGATAAGCGTGAATACTCGAGATGTTGTTGAATAATATAAATCAACGGCGATGCTCCTGCTCTTTCTGAACTCCTGAAATTTTTTTTAACAGAAGATTGAGAGAAATTCCAGTAATTGAAATGCTCATTTTTCAAACAATCTGAAGGAGTAACAGTTTCCCATTCAAAAACTACTTTTAATGAACATTTGGTGCTGACAGTGCGCGCGTCTTCGCTGATCCTTTGTAAGTGATTTGCTCTCATCTACACTGTGAATTTATCGACTGAACCGATGAATTCAAAAGCGCGGAACTCATGCGATTATAAAATCATCTTAGTTTTTCAAACCGTTAATGAGGACACATTTTAGGTTGGTTTCGGTGATTTAATGCCTCGAAGGGACGATTATAT